CTGAATGATAGTCTCGCAGCGAAATCTTGAGCAGTTCAGAACTTATTTTTGATAAATTCCAAGCTAAGTCTCACTATCTTCATAGTACGACTTTGTTTGCTGAGTGACCGCCTACATATCTAAATGACATCATACCCCCTCCGTAGCCAGTGTTTGTTTTGTTCAAAGAGGTTGGTCCGCTAAAGCAAAGGTAAATTAAGAAGCGAGGAAGTTCGCGCTTGCTACGAACTTACACATCTGTTCATTGTGGGAATTGATAGAACGTCTTTGCTAACAATTTTTAGTAGTGTGCAACTTTTCAGCCTCAGATGTTGGTCTCAACTTACCATGTAACCGAGAGATGGATGGCCTTTTGGCAGCTGATCCAGATGGAAATCCGACAGCATTCTTGTCTTGTCAAAGTAGTGGATCTGAGTGAGTGATTCATAGAGGATTTGGCACTTCTAAAACTAAAAATTTCCTTTGCAGCTTGGCAGGCTTTTGGGAAAGGAGAGTCTGTCCAGATGGCATGGTTTTCGACTTTATCAACCAACAGTGCCTGCAAAGAAAACATCGAAAACAGCCATTGCTCAATATTGGTAAGGAAAAATTTCTGTTCAGAAAGAAAGTTTCGAAAAAGCTTGGGACAATTTTCTAGCTGCGCATTTTGAGTTTTCGTGAATTTTTATATATCACTTCGTGCCTCGTGGATTTCTTACAAAACCTTGCGACACGTTAATCCGTTTCTGGTTCTTTTACACAAATGCGTTCTTATTTGAAAGGGGAAAGTCGTTCATAAATTCAGAGTAAATGCGCGGCAATACTCTAGACTAAATATCGGAAGCTTTTAGTGTTCAATGAAAAAGGAGAAGTGTCTCGACTCGCAAATGCAAGCAAATATCCGCGCGACACGCGCACGGTTTTTTTCTGTGACAAATCGCGGATTAGTAGTAAAAATCGATAAATATTTGTATTGCGTAAAATTTATCATTTTCTTTCATTATTTCAGCTATCCTAAACAATAGCTGTGCACATGGCGAAACTTGCATAGGTGGTACGGTATGCGACTTGGAACGTTTGAGGTGCCTTTGCCCTTACGGTACCGTACCCCAACTGGAAACGTTGTCGTGCCTCAAGCCACAGACAAGCTATAATTCTTTTGGATCTTTTGGAAACTTCGATAAGCCGGTTAGGCTTTGACAGTAGTCCAATCTGTCAATTTAATGAAATTTACGGCGTTTTTAGGCTGCAACCCCGGCTGCTTTCCTTCCCAACCCTGGACACACGAACCCTCCACCATTCACATTCAACTTCAGCCCAATTTTCAATAAGGAAACAAGCCCAAATATGAACTTTGGAAATCAGAACAATAACAAGCCGAGCAACTCGAACAGCGGATCAGCTGGCGAGCAAAACTCGTACCCGAACAACAACTACGGTAACAATGCACAATGGAGCAAAATTGGAGCCGGAAAAGCAATTTCGAATGGTGGAGTGTACCCATCTAATGGATTTGGTGAGGTTCC